TAGTTTAACAAAACAAAAAAAAAGGCGGCTAAAAAGGAGAAAAAAGTTTTAAAAGTGTAGTCTCTTTTAAAAGTGTTAACTCATTCTGGAATGGGTGCACAAACCAGAGCCACTGCCATTAAGGGTCTTACAGTTATACCAGATAACACAACAACTTAGAACATTATTCAAGTGAAAGTCTCTAAAATCCTTAAAAGAAAGAATGTAATTAAACCGGTTTGGCAGAATATTCAAGGTGGTGGACTGGAGTGTCTACAGTGGGCAAAGACCACATGTCACTAAATTCCTTTGTAAAGAGAAAAACCTTTTGCACATTGTCAGTGGGGAGCCAGGACTCCACAAGTTGTTGTCAGTCCTCATAAAGGAGAGTTTTATAAACAGAATGTAATGGGAAGGTCTTGGCAACCCCAGCTCTATAAGATAAGAAGCTGGAATAGAAGACTGATCCCCTAACTGCAGAGCAGAATGCACTGCTTCAATCAGAGGATCAATAATTGAGTCAATAAATAAGCCAAGTCATAAGGGACTTGCGTAAAAACAGGCTCTTCAGAAAAAGGCTGTGAAGTCTCTGAATCAAAGATAGTAAAAGGAATCTCAGGGCTACATAGTGGTAGAGGTAAAGTAGCAAACAGAGCAATAGTCCCGAATTTTGTTACAAGCATCGTTGCCTTCAGGGAAAACTGAGAGGTCATTGCTGTTATCAATAAAAGGAGCATGGGCTGAGGTCACCCATTGCTGTGGGACTGTCCTCTGTGAGTCTTCGTGAAGACATGTTGCACTACACAGCAGATAACAGCTGGGTCTATAGTGAGGAAAGGCCTAACAAACCCAAGCAGCTAGCGTAGATAAGGAAAGCAGGCAACCAGGGGTGACCAAGTCAGTGCCTTGACTCTAGACTAGGAGAGCACAATGTGGCTAACTAACAGTACACAAAGGTCTTGAAGGTGCTAGAATGCAGAGCTCAGTGCCAGGTAAGTAATGCTCTTTAAAAATTAAAGCTGGCACCTAATTTTTGAGGTTTTCTCTGGTTGTTGTCACTGCAAGCTGGCTCCTGGATTGGACAGACGGGCTCCTGAATTCCATTATAATTTGCCCACCCTTTTCCCTACGGCTAACAAACAGTATATGAAGGCCTAGAAAGGTCACATTCTTTGATTCTTTGGTCCATAGGGGTCCATAAAGGGCCTCCAAACCTGTTGCTAAGGATAAGCAGATCCAGACAGCTGCTGTGAAGAGACTAGTGCAAGCAACGTCTTTGAGGTCTTGAGTGAAGTTTCAAGAAAAAAAAGCTAATATAAATTAGCACATCACCAATAGTATAGCAAATCTGAGAAAAAGGCATATCACCTTCTGGGGCACTAGGCAAAAACTGAGGCATGGCGGTTTGAGGTGTGCTTATTTGGGGCTGACTTAACATTGTATATCAATGTTCAAACCTCCTAAAGGTGGCAGTATAGCTCATATGCCTACAATCCTGTGTCCCCCAATAGACGATAAAGGAATTTTTCCCAATCCCAATTCCATAAAAGGTGGGATGGTGTGTAAAATCTACATAAAAAACAGAATGCAATGCTTTGCAAATCTCATAAACCCATATTTTAGTCACAATAGAAAATAGAAAACATATCCAATGTTTAGATTGAGAAAATGTACCATTTTCAGGGGTGTGGAATTCCTATCGCCCGACACCCGGGACAGGCAGTTTCGGGCGAGTAGTTTTTTTCTACATTTAGCCCGGCTGCGGGCAAGCAGCACTGCTAAATGTAGTGTGGGAGCAGTTTTGTACGAGTGATTTTAAACGGCTGTGCAAAAATGACTCTTAACCTGTCTGAATCACGCTTCTCCTCTCCTCTCCCCCCCCCCTCCTCCTCCTCCTCTCTCCTCCCCTTCCGCCTCTCTCTATCTCCAGCGGCCGGCCGTGTACTGCTCCCGGATGCCTGTCTCTCTGCACCTGGGCTTCCTTTTTGCCATAGTCTTCGGGGTCCCCCCCTCTTGTGGGGGGTTGATGACCACGGCAAATTAGGTTCCAGAGCATGGAGCAAGGCAGAGAACGGTTCTCTATTCTGCTCCATGTGTGCAGTGACACAGGAATGCAGCCTTCCTGTCACAGGAGAAATAGCACAGAGCTGTGCTAGAACTCCTGTGTTGGAGGTGACAGGGTCAATAAAGAGAACCTGTCATCTCCAAAAGCTATCACACAAGGGCTTGTTACACTTGTGTGATAGAAATAAAGTCAAGTAGAAAATAAAATATATAAAACACTTAAAAATGTAAACATAAAATTGGAAAAAATTAAAATAGAAGCTCTTCTTGGCACTGCTAAATACGGTTATGGTTAAATTTTTTTCTTTTTTTGTATCAGGACAAGTAGATTTTCATGAGGGACAAGTAGATCAGGCCCCGGCTTTAGTCCTTGGACAAGTAGTTCTTTTTTTAAATTTCCACACCCCTGCATTTTAAAGAAAAAAATAAGGTAATTTTGAAATTGATGGCACACTGGAATCACATTCCTGGCAATTCTATCTTTCAAAGAGCTAGCCTACCTTTGGTTTTACCGGTACAACCAGTATATAAATATTAGAAAATGGATGAATAAACGAACACAGAGAGGATATATTAGAGATAATGTGTATAAAAAACAGGTATAATAGCCACTATGATGAAAGAGAGCATGAAAGACAACCGTTGTAGGAGAAATCTAATCAAGAGACAGATAATTATAGGAGTTATATCACTGCCCCACAAACTTTTAGGATACCGGTTCATAATCGTTATTCCACCTTGCTCAAAAAGGCGCAATTTCAAATTTGCAAATATTTATTAACTCAATACAGTTTTGTCTTTTAGATTTAGTCTGAAAATATTTTTTTTTGTGCACTGATACTGATTTTAGTGTGATTTATCAATTGAATTGTGTATTTTTATCTTATCGGTTTAATATTCATTTGAGAAACATTTGCGCAATTATTGCAGGGCCTACAAATTTAGTAGCACCATCTTTTTATTCTACTGGGCCTGCACTTTCAGAAAATATATGGTTTGAGGGGTCTTTTACAACGCTAACAACGCAGCAGTTGAAAATCAAATCAATGGGAAAAATTGCAAAAATGGCGTGGCCAGCTGAGGTGCAAAATGTTCCGGAGGGCTTGGCAGCGAAAGGGTTAAACATACTTTACTATGCAATGCTGCGTGCACAAACTTAATTACAGGAAAAGCAGTACAAAAACAAACATACAGGCTGCTACAACATACAATCTAGAAGATATGCTGTCCCACACACCATTCTGCTTCGGAATATCATCTTTACTAAAAGATGATATTCTGAAGCAGAATGGTGTGCGGATAACATATCTTCTAGATTTTATACTGTGGCGCCATCCACCAGTTGTTCCAGCATATGTTGGATTCTGGGGTATAACGGTACGCTGTGCACAGGGGATATTACAAAGACATTTGTTGCTACAAAATACATGCACCCACTACACTATCCTTTCTAGTACATGGAATGGTTTCTAGGAGAGGGTACACTAAAAGGTACTTAGCTTCCAGTTGCAAATTCCATATTTGAACATGACTCCACGGCAATTAATCGTTCACAGGAAATATGGCTTCTGGTTGTAGTCTCTCTCAAAGTCCGTTGTTTCAGTGATGGCCTCCTTGGTTAAAGTTCCATGGTAAGTTGAATTGTGAAGTCCCCCTTGGTCAGAAGTGCATTGTGAAGTCCCCCTTGGTCAGAAGTGCATTGTGAAGTCCACCAGGGTCAGAGGTGAAGTCCACCAGGGTCAGAGGTGAAGTCCACCAGGGTCAGAGGTGAAGTCCACCAGGGTCAAAGGTGAAGTCCACCTGGGTCAGAGGTGAAGTCCACCTGGGTCAGAGGTGAAGTCCACCTGGGTCAGAGGTGAAGTCCACCTGGGTCAGAGGTGCATTGTGAAGTCCCCCTTGGTCAGAAGTGCATTGTGAAGTCCCCCTTGGTCAGAAGTGCATTGTGAAGTCCACCAGGGTCAGAGGTGAAGTCCACCAGGGTCAGAGGTGAAGTCCACCAGGGTCAGAGGTGAAGTCCACCAGGGTCAAAGGTGAAGTCCACCTGGGTCAGAGGTGAAGTCCACCTGGGTCAGAGGTGAAGTCCACCTGGGTCAGAGGTGCATTGTGAAGTCTTAAATTCACTTCTGAGCTGCTGGCTTTTATTAAGAATGATAAGGAATCCCACCTGTGGGCGGTGCCCCTTAACATCTATGCAAGATGTATCTCACTTTTTCCAACTCCAGAAGGCAGCATAGTATTAGTTATGCCATCAACAGTCAGTGAGGTGCCAAAGAGTCTGACTAAGCCTTGACCAGCCTAGGTGTGGTGTTTATGTAATGTTTCCCCATAACAATATCCCATTGTGAGTAAGCTAGATACGAATAATGGAGAAGCAATACAGGGCAGCTATACCATTATCAGAAAACCAGTTTGGTCTGTGAATAGTTGTTTAGACTAACAATACTCTTGCTTAGCTGAGCAGACCGACCATCTCTGCAAATTTCCTCTGTGTGTGTGCCTGAAAAAAAAATCTATGTGCAGATGTTATATAATATACTGTATATTTTATATATATTATTTTTGTGCAATACAGTATGCCGCCCAATGTAAAATGGGGAGCACTCTGAAAGACCTGAGAACAGATCTGACTGCAAGGTGAGAGGCTATTTGTGTGAGGATTATCCCCGTATCCACTGGTGGAAACACTTAAAAAAGAGCACGTTTGGATTTCCTTGACATCCGTTACAAAAAGTGGTGTATTGTTTGTATTGGAAGGATTGCGGACACTGAAGTGTATATGTCACTTGTTTGGACACCGATTGTTTGATTATATAAATTGTAAGAATATTTTGGTGGTTTGCTGTCACAATTGAAATTTGTCTTGATTGGATTTTTGTGTTTACATTTTCTGTTATAATCGCAAAGCGTGTTTTGTTTTTTTTAAAGCAAAAGATGCATATCACCACCCTAACACATACCAAGAAAGGTGCGCAAACCCAGGTGAACGTTCCTATTGCAGATAAGTAAGCAGACTTTTTCAGCACTTTAAGCTCCTCCTGTCGAATTCCAAGCACTTTTTCCTTGAAGGCTAGTTCCCAGGCATAGAGTTTCAGCACTTTAATTCCATTTAATATCTCGTTCATCAGCTTAATCCTGTTGTCTTTGCACTTCATTTGGACCACCTATAGAAAAGGCCATTACAAAAGGGAAAAGGGTTGAAAAATCCTGTATACAAATATGCACACACAATATCTATATAGATCTATCTATACACACACACGAACGAACACA